CGTGTGTGTGTATGGGAGAAAGTGCTTGCGCATGTTCGCATATCACAGTATTTCGTTTTGGCGAATAAAGCTTGTGTGTGATTGTTTTTGTTTTACAACAATATAGTCAAGTACCGATATACCATTCGTTTTAGATATTGCCTAATGTTTCTTTTTGGGCTGACATACTCTGAAATATCGCCTCATCTTTGATCTTGCACGGCATGGTGACCTGATATTTACAGATAAAGACTTGGACACAGATGACGCAGAGCACACCACGTGGCTGTTCCAACAGGCACTGGCTCGGGCCGAGCAGTTCAACATTAAGGTGCACATGTGTGTCTTCCAACTGTGAAGCTATATGTTTCCTTCGATTATATGTACTTTCTTGTACGCAAAAAATGTGAGCATAATGGTGAATTGGAGAAGATGTCTTACATATGATTAGGCGTATCTCGCGGCCCTTCTGATGTCAAACGACCTTTGCTAAGGGTTGGAGTGTATGTCTGTGCAATCGAAGAGTGAGTTGTGCTTGATGATTATAAAATCAAGTTGAGAATGTGATATTATTGTGTTACGATTGTCTGATCAGAATTGCATTCCTAACTCCGAAAATATGATAATTTGCTTTCCTATACATCATCAGATGTAGTTGATACCAATGATTAATATCTCCCAAATCAGCTATATCATTCTACTACCTATGTTCATCTGAAGTCGACTCTATACCCCTATATCCATGTGTATATCATAGTGCGCTGCGAAATGATGGCAATCTAGATAACATCACTACCTTTGCAGCATTTAACGAGGTGGTCATTGTGTTTTAAATCCTTCTGTTCTGTACTTAAACGTCCCACCTCTCACAGGGAGTGACATATCGTCTGACCAAAGGAGTGGTGAAGAATATCATTCCGGCAGTGGCTTCCACAAACTCCACCATTGCAGGTATCATGTTTCACCTAGCCCATAGCTGGGACCAAATGTATACCTGTGACCAAATGTATACCTGTCGCTAACTACTACTGATATCTCGCACATGAGTTCGTATATTGCATAATGAAACTAGGTTTGAGCTGCCCGAGTAGGCATACAACGACAACAAATAAGCGCAAAGACCGCAATTTGGCGCTGTATCACACACATGCAAATTATGTCACGTCGTCCAGCTACATTCTCTCGCCGAAATGATTTGTGAATCGTCCTTTGTTCACACACACACGTACACGCAATATGAACATATCGAGTAAAATACATTTACACTCATCTCCAGATACCAAGTTGCATGACTCATTGTGTATGGTTGTATCCTCGATCAGCATGCTGTGCGAACGAGACTTTCAAGCTCGCCACCAGGTGCAATCCGCATATGAACAACTACGCGTTTATAAACCTGATTGATGGCGTATACGCACTCCCCTTCGAGTACGAGAAGGACGAGGACTGCATCGTCTGTAGTAAGAAACCGGTCACCGTGAAGTGTGCGAGCTCTTCTGTGACATTACAAGCGCTAATTGAGAGGATACTCCAACAACTGTAAGTTTATTAGCAGACAGCCACTTTTGTACGCACAATGTACTATTTCTGTATGTGTACAGTCTCATATATACTTGCGCCAATAGTTAAGGAACCTGACTATACAGTGAATGCAGTCACTTGTGGTCGTCTCCTGTGCATCGCTTTCAAACGTTCGCTGTTTTCAAAGCTTTCAAATGAGCTACGCTTCTCATTAGTTGCATTTTCGATCTTGAAGATAGTTGTATCTGCTGGAATCAGGCCCGAAATAGTAGAGCAATTCACCATTTTTTTGTGCGTGATGGTGTCCCGGTTGTTTTACGTATGAAAGTGAATGCAGTAGAACAGGGTTCAAGAGCCTGTTCAAGGTATGCTTATGACAACGTGGATTTAAACTTTGTGTGAGACGCTGTGTTGTACCGATTCATTCCACCTACTCCTTGTGAGCGCTGATGGGTTAGAATTGCTCACATAAAAGGCCGCTGGTATTAGTGCATTATGGTCGCACTATTTGAATATCATAGAATGGTACTCGTTTCACGTGTAGGTGGATGCGCGTGCTGCACTTGAAGTCATCACACCTGACTCTGGATGCTCGCTGAGTCTCTCGCTTGAATCGTTGGTGTCGCAGTTATTTGAGTGTATGATGCTATCATACCGTCTGACTTCACGTTACAATACAAACTTGGTAGACTTTTATTCGGAGCAGTATATACATATTTATATATATATAACACATCCGCAAGCTCACGGATACAAACTTGGTAGATTATTATTCAGAGCAGTATATATATATATATATAACACATCCGCAAGCTCACGGATACAACTTGGTA